GTCAACAAGTCACTAAGAAAAATGAAGTCATTTTCATAAACATTTGAGACTGGGTTTACAAAGGCAGTGGTTATCTTATGTAGACCCCATCTCTGTATTTTGTTTCAGTTGCACAGTATTGAGAAAGCCCTGATTCACACTAAGAAATGGTAGCATTCTTTAATAGCTCACCTTGAAATACCAAGATGCTCTTCAATGTACCAGAGATGGTCTCCTTCTGGCATCTGCACAAAAACAGTTAAACTGGTACTGATGTTGGCTGGATTTCAATGTTGTTGGTTTTAATTGTTTAAGTTAAAATATTTTAAAACCAAACATTAATGAAGAAGATCTCAAGAGAACACAATTTAAATATTGCCTCACGAAATGAGTTGATTTATTGATTATTGTGTAAAATCTAGCTTTCTGAAACTTCACTCTAGGTTTCCAGGAGTCTCTACTCTTTGGTTGTCCACTCATCCCTCCTGGCCATTGCTTCTGTCTTTCACAAGCTCTTGTCCTGCACCTGGCCCAAAGTGACACTTTCATCCTGTATTCTCTCCATTTCTCATGCCATCAATTACCATTACCTATGCTGAAAATATCTCCAGCTCTTATTTCTCCCCTAAGCTCCATTTAGACTTTTATCTCCACTTGGACATTTTATAGGTGTTTTAAACTCAAAACAGAACTAACTCATTATTCATGTTTTTTCTTGCCTCCTCACCTCCACCAAAACTAAGCCCCTCCCCTTCTTGAATTCACTATCTCAAATAAATGGGATTGTTCACCTGGTTGTCCAGCTCAAGAGATGTGGGGATCGTCCGGCATTCTTTTTATTCTTTTTTCCTTGCCATTTACATTAGCCAATTAGTCCTATTGATTCTATCTCCTCTTTATTCTCTGAATCCATTCCATCATCTTCATTCCCAGTGCCACTGCCACGAGGTAGCCTCTCAACAGGAAATATTGTGGTTTGTATAACTACCTAGACTTATGAAACATTTTTTAATACATGATTTACAAAAAAAAAAAAAAAA